TATAAAATTATTACATCAAATTTTTACCAATAACTTGCTGATTCAAATAAAAGAAATTTGATTCTAATAGAAGAAATTTGATTCTCTTTAAATAAGATCTTAAGTTCAAGTCTTATAAATGAAAAAATAAACATTAAAATAACTTCTCCTTACAGGGTCTAACGCGACTTGATTTTAAATTAATTGAAATTCAATGTAACTTTTGAATACTAAAAGGTTAGTATAAAAAATATTGAATCAAAATTTACATAGAAATCAAATTAACACTTAAAAAAGATCGACCCTCATGTCAATTCTTAGATCCGCCACTGATTATAAAGGTGTGGTCAAGATATAAAAAATAACAAAATTTATCAATTTGTTTCTCAACAATGTGAACTACTAATATTTATAATAACCAAATAAGAAAACCCCACGCAGAGAGGGGAAAAAAAAAAAAAGGTGAAAAGTGCGATTGTGGGCATTAACCTTTATTAACAACTTAAATTTGTGAAAATTTGTAGACGTTGATTAATTCAAAGCGTTATTATTAGGCGAGAGACGGGTTTGGAACTGATATTTTCAGCGGACAGCAAATCACATTTATAGCTAGAAATTCGTATGATCCAGGACAACGGACAAACAGCTGAATACTGCTTCAAAAGATTGCGATGTGAAGAAAAATGTCTTTCCTAGCTTATCGTTCACATGGATAACATTTAATAAGTTGTGAAATTAATGATTAATTCATGACAGCGAGGCCTACTTATCATAAAAATTCACAATCAAACAAATGGAAAGCATTAAGACCTTGTTTTTGTGATACTTTTTTTTTCTCTCATGATCAAAGTATTTTTAGATTAACCTTGCATGATCAAAGTATTTCTAAATTAATTTTACATGTGTTTCTAGATTAATTTCTTTTTCAATAAATTTTAAACAAGTAAATCCACACCAACTTAATAAATTTTAAAAAATTAAATTTCTTTTGAATACTAACTCCAAAATTCAACTTCAAGATGAAAAGTTGTGGGTAGAGCAACTGGTTGCTCTCCACACGACACTTTTTACCGGACTCAAGTTCAAATCCTTCTCATCCCCTCATCCCTCCACAGTGTAACTCTGTTCAAAAAAAAAAAAAAAATCACCTCTAAGGCAACACTTCATTAATTACTATTCCTTTTATTCCATAATAATAATCATTTTTTTGCTTCCATCTTAGAATTAAGAATTTCGGATCAATTTTTATTTGGGTAAAAACCAAATTTAGTCCTCAACATTTAGCATAAATACTAGATATTATCCCAACCTTTTATTTTGATCAAAAATAGTCCTCAACCTTCTCAAAAATACCAAACTTAATCTTATTGTTGGTTATTTCAGTTAAAAATTTATAATATAAAATTCTAATTAAAATTTTGGAAAACTACCAAAACTCTTAAATTGAAGGAAAAAAAAAAAAACTCTAAACTATTTTTTTCTAACACCAAACATATATTTCATTGTTTTAACATAACTAAATTTTATATTTTTTGTTTTTCTTTGTTTAGGGAAACTCTAAAGATCATGTTCCTTTTCTTTTTTGCCTTTTACTAAATGCAAAAGCCATGCTTTAATCATATAAACTATTGATATAATTTAATAGTTTAACAATATAATGAATTTCATAATCCAAATAATTTTCAATTGTAAATTATTTATAATTAAAATTTCTGTTTTATAAAATTAAAATCCATATCAAATTATAGGTTTCCAACCTATAACATATACATAAATCTTTATCTGTAAAGTAAAAAAGTTTCCAAACTTTTTTCAAAAAAGAAGAGTTAAAGTGTGTAAAAACTCCAAAATTTAGTATAAATAATTTTAAGATAATGAAATTAAAAGAAAATTATGTAAAAATTTCTATTAAACCTCCCAAAATTCTTGTTAAGATTTTCTGTTGAAAATTAACGAAAGTAACCAACTTTAGGATTAAGTTTGGTAATTTTATAAAGGTTGGGGATCATTTTTGGTCAAAATGAAAGATTTGGATAATATTTAGTATTTATGATAAATGTTGAGGACTAAATCTAATATTTACCCTTTTTATTTTTATTATTTTATTTT